TCTGTCCCCATAACAGGGAGGTTACGAATTCAATTCGGAAACAATGTAGTTGTACAAACGGGAGGCACTTTTTGTAAGTTTGGACTCACTTTTCCTGCAAGCTGACTTTAGGCCCAAGGGAGATTTGTGTCACCTTTGCAGCATCAGCGCAATGCGAGGTGATCCGGGAGAGATATCTTAGATTTCTCTGAGAAATTGACAGTCTCGAGGAACAAGTATAAGAAATGTTTCCACAGGACACCAATCTTGCAACGAGATTCATCGTGGAGTATCTAGAAGTAAGCATGTCAATTGCTGAAAACGACGTGAGAACTAAAGTGTTGGCCGAATCATGCTTTCAGCAGTCGCGTGATGCAATTCATGCGAGCGGCCATAGATTTCTGCCGGAAGAATATAGTGTTGTTCTATAGTCGTTTCGTCTGTCCAAACTTGTCATAATTATTTTGAGATTCTTTGGAGATTTTTCGATCAAGCATTTTCATTTCATTAACTGCCTACTATTGGGTAATTAAGCGAATAATTATATCTTGAAAAAATATAGAGAGGGGTCATTGGAATTCAAGGATAAGTAACCTATTCGAGGACAGCTGTAGGTTACTTTAGACTCTCCGCCATGGCGACTTAGCGGTGAAGCCTGTACCTGAAATCTCCATCTCAAACTCTTCCTCAGTTATTCAACAGGGTAAGGCATTCTTCAATCCTCCGTACTCGACTGGAAAGAATTCTTGACGTTGAGATGAGAGGTTTTGCTAATGACCGTGGCTTTTTATTCGTCTCGGCGGCTCTATGGAAGAAATCCTCGATCGTAGGCTAATCCTATCTTGCCTATTCAGTAGTGATGTGCAAATCACCAGTGAACTTTACTGTTCATCGAAAGTAACAGATTAAAGTTAGTCACATGTGGTTCATTTCTTAACCACGCTATGGAACAACCTAATCTAAATTCATGATAGAAGCATGAATGGAGTAATTGTCCCAATAGCATTGAAGCAGAGCTCTTTCACAATATTCCCATTGGATGTCCCCAACCTCTTTGTCCTGTAAATATCCCACCAGGCATTGATCAGTGTTTCATGTGCAGCAGTGGCTGGCAGAGGAGCATTGAACTTGCATCTTTGATGGATGACTCACTTCAAGCCTATTTTAATACCTTTAGGGCAGAACTTCAGAATTTATGAATAAAGAACAGCACCAATTTTATGAGCAATTCCATAGCAGGTAATCTTGCAATATCTGTTCATCTGATTCCATGAGATGTATTCAAAAACAATATATTTAACTCATGCAAAAACTTTTTGAAAGTGGGAAGATATGTTGAAGTTAAACTTTTATCTTTGTTTCCCAGCTACCCCTCAACACTTCTATCATTGAACTCCTATCATTGTTTTTCTAACAACCTAAGCACCTCTCTTTTGTCCTGCGAAAAATTTTCCTGTCATAAGTTGTGCAGGTTATAATTTCATGACAGCAACATATATGGTGACTTCCATTGCAGAAAGAGGGTCATGATTAGGATTCTCTCTGAGGAGTGAGATGGGACTAAAGAGATCCTTAGCAGGATTACTCTCAAATTTGATTAGCATTATGAAATTCCTGTATTTGCCCTTTTCATCAGACTTTTTATAATAATAGTGTGCAACTGGAGAGAAAATGGTTGAGTTGACATAAGTAAGAAATGGAAGGTGAGAGTCTTACTGTTTGAGGTGCTTTATGCTATTCATTTTGTTGTATAACTTGCCCTTCATCCCATACCACTTTTTTTTAAGTGGTAAAAGTTTTTTATATTTTTTCTTGTGAAAGCTGACCTTGAGATGATACCAATACCATGCTCTTCAGGGTGGGTGGCAAGTAATTTGAAATTTATGAAGCAGATGTGATGGTGACTATTATCTTCCAATTCTGTCAGTTCAGGTTTGGACAAGTTGGCAAGATGAGCAGTAGTAACGGTCCCTACATTGGCAGTAAGATCAGCCTCATCTCTAAATCCCTGATCCGCTATGAAGGTATACTTTACACTATTGACACCAGGGAGTCCACTGTTGCCCTGGCAAATGTACGGTCCTTTGGGACTGAGGATCGCCCTACGGATCGTCCTGTGGGGCCACGAAGTGAATTATATGAATACATAATCTTCCGCGGGTCGGATATCAAGGAGATCCGTGTGTGTGAAGCACCCACGCTAGAGGACCCAGCTATCGTTCAGCAATCCCGGCCAACCACGAGTGCATCCTTTCAACCTCAGCCTTCGTTTGGCCCCATTGGAGCCATGCCACCTCCATATCCAACAACCCAATGGGGCAGTAGTTCACCTGCTGGAGTCTGGGGTCCAGGGAGTCTTAGCGTACCCATTGGACGGCCACCTGCACCAACTCACCCGCCACCACATGTCACACCTGGGTTTGAAGGATCTGAAATTTCACCTATGAATTCCCCACCACCTGGACTTGGAAAGCCCGAGTCTCATTCATTACTTGGGCCAATCGGAAAGCCACCAACAAGTCCACCTGTTTCTGAGACCCCATTGTCAACAGATGCTTTATCACCTCAGGCTCACAAGTCACCATCCCTGGATGGATCAGCTGTTGTTGATCAGGGTTTGAAGTCCAATGATCACTATGATGAAACTAAGGCTGTTGGATATAGACCTATGTGGAATCAGAGATCATGGCAAGGTGGGGACCGTTCACGAGGACAGATGCATCAGCGCCCTCCGGGTGGAAGTGGGCAAAATCAACGCTTCCAACATGGGAACCGCAACATTGGAATGCGTCGGGGACGTGGGAGAGCTGCAGGAGGGAGAGGTGGCACAAATCGGGCTGAACCAGTTAAATTTGAAGGTGAGTATGACTTTGAGAAGGCCAATAATGACTTTGAGGCCCTGATGAGCAAATTGAAGATAAATGGCTCTGCCAAGTTGGAAGCAGGAGATGGTCCTGAAGTTAATGCCACCATTAATGAGCATAAAGATGAAAAGGAATACCCAGAAATTGATGGGGAGATTGAAGGAGCAGAAGGTGGAGGTTGGGAAGCAACACCAGATCCCAAGGTTTACTATGACAAGGCCAAGTCCTTCTTTGACAACATCACATGTGAGGCAGTAGAACGGAGCAAGGGACGGGTCCAGCGTCCTGACTGGCGACAGGAGAGGAAGCTCAACTGTGAGACATTTGGCGTTAGTTCTGTTCCCAGGCGGGGATATCGCCGTGGAGGCTATTATTCAGGTCGGGGAAGCATGACTCAAGGCTATGGATTTGGATTCGGCAGAGGTGGAAATCTCTGGAGAGGAGGTCCTGGAAGAGGTGGACGACATACAACAGAGAACCGTGGTGGAAACGCATCTCGAGGTCGTGGTACTGTCCCCAGGAAATGATGGATGAGGTATACTGTTCAATCGGGAGTTCTTGGGAATTGTACAAATAAAAAAAAGAGACACCAGACTTGTGAAGAGAAACTAGCATCCCTATCCTGTCATCCTTTGTTCTTTTGGAAGTCTCTTCCCTGACTGAACACTCGCCTCCATGCCGTGCTCCCTGGAAGTATCTACACAGCAGTTTCATGTCAGGGACTTCTTAAGTTCTCAAAAGGGGACATCCCAACATGTTTTTATAGTTAAATACTCTTTCCTTCCAGTTGTTCACATAATTAGTTAATCAAACAAATGCCCATGATGTGGTGTTGGATTGCATCTGGGATAGCTTGTGAGTGACTGGTCAATTTCTTTCCACAATTTTTGGTATTGTGGCATTTCCTGTTTTCTACCTGGTTGTAACAAGGTCATGATGTTTTTTGCACAATGGAACACTATAGATAAGTATGGCTTGATTGTGAATTTGATGGACCCAGGGCCTTGGAATAAAGCATGAGCTTTATCGCATCAAATGTTGACATTC